AGACCAGGTCATGGCAGGCCTCTCTTATGATGTTCTCCCTGGCTTCTCCCACAAGCTGCTCCTCCACTTGGGCCTCCCATGGTTCTCCTGCCCAAGGCCTACCTGTTCCCTAAGATTCCTTCATTTTATCTCTTCCTAGTAGGAATGCCACAGCTTCCTTCTGCCTCAGACCACCTTGCCCTGAACACACACACCTTCCACATCTGGGTCAATGCCAATATCATAATTGATCAAGGCCACAGGTGGGAGAGACTTGGTATTCAGGCCCCTGCAGGCATACTTGAAGTTCCTCCCTCAGCCCCTCTGTTGAGTATTTCATCAGCAGTTTTTCCAATTCTGACAGAGGTTCTGGGGGAGGGAAGGGGTATCTGCCTAGAGAAAAGATGTGTATGAGCCCCAAGAGTAGAAAGATTCAGAAGCTGGGATGAGGGAGGTTAACAAGAGAAGCTTCGGTGACTCATGCCTATAATCCTAGCACTTGGGAGGCCGAGATGGGTGGATTACCTGAGCTCACAGGTTTGAGACCAGACTGAGCCAGAGCGAGACCCCATCTCTAAAAAGTAGCTGGGTGTTGTGGCGAGCACCCAAAGTCCCAGCTACTTGAGAGGCCAAGGCAAGAGGTGCTATGCCCGAAATTCTTCCAAAAGACCCCGGCAGACAAATCTGAGACCACACTCCGATGTAAAAGGCAAGAGGCGAGTTTTTTTTTTTTTTTTTTTGAGACAGAGCCTCAAGCTGTCCCCCTGGACAGAGTGCCGTGGCATTACAGCTCACAGCAACCTCCAACTCCTGGGCTCAAGCGAGTCTCCTGCCTCCACCTCCGAAGTAGCTGGGACCACAGGCGCCCGCCACAACGCCCGGCTATTTTTTGGTTGCAGCCGTCATTGTTGTTTGGCGGGTCCGGGCTGGGGATTCGAACCCGCCACCTTAGGTGTACGTGGCTGGCGCCTTAGCCGGTTGAGCTATAAGCGCCGAGCCAGAGGCGAGGTTTTTTATTCAGACAGGTCTGGACCCTCCTGGCATGCAAGCCTAGGACGAGCCCCGAACCTGGGGTGGAGAAAGTTTTTATGCGGTACACAAAGCAAGAGGGGTAGGGTCGGATACGAGTACACTTTTCATTGGTGGTTGGTGATTTCATTAGTAAAGGAGGAAGTAAAGGAGGATTTGCATTGGTGGCTGATGATTTCACTAGTAAAGGTGAATTTGGATTGGTACAGGTGAGGGGTGGGGGGGTCCCTTAACCGGGGGCTAGAGTTGGTGCAACCTGGTTACCTGTATTTCAAGGTAATAGAAACTTATTGTTTATTATAGTAGCTATTTGCCTAAGGTGACTCAGTTTACAGCGTAGTGGCTGTGCAACCTGGGGTGGGGGAAGGCAGCAGGGAGTGGCCTTGCAGGTTTCAGTGGCAGAGGTTGGGGCGGAAGGGCTATGCGGTAAACAGCTAGGAATGGGGCTTGTGCTGTAAACAGCCAAGAATGGAGCTTGTGCTGTAAACAACAAAATGGAGCTAGTTTGGCTCTCACAGAGGATCACTTGAACCCAAGAGTTTGAGGTTGCTGTGAGTGAGCTAAAATGCCATGGCACTCTTGAGTAACCAAGTGAGACTGTCTCAAACAAACAAACAACAACAACAACAAAAATAATAGTAGCCTCTTGGGTTCTCAACTTTGTTGTTACTGTGAAACACAGAAGCTCACCCTTTTATGGGACTGGCACTTTCTGAGATGCTCTGTTCTGCTCCTTGCTTAAATCCTGGATTGCTGCTTCAAGCCAAACATCCTCACACTCCAGGCTTCCACTCTAGGCCCTGTTAGCTCCCCAATTCCCACTTCTGTCCTCCCATTCCCTTCTGTTTTCCCACTGGGAAAGGCACTATTGAAAGTAGGAACCTAGTGTGAGAGTATTCTGGGTACCTCCCTCCATGATTTCTCAGAATGGGCAGAGAGAAGATTGTTGGTGATTTAGAGCAGGAGAACTGGGAAGGTGGGAAGTATAGGTTTGCCCCTGTGGTTAGGGGATCTGGGTTTGATGTACTCTCATCAATTTACGATTGGGCTAGAGTTTGAGATTGAGGTTTGCTACCTTCTAACTGGGTGATCTGGGACAAATAATTTACCCTCTCTTGAGGTTCTTTCCTCATCTACAAAACAGAATATAATAATACCCACTTCACAAAGGGGTTGTGAGAGTCAACTGAAATAATGCATGCTAAAATACTTTTGCAAAATGTGGACAGCTACTAAGCTTAATAATTTAGTTAAAGCTATACTTGTTAATAATTACAAGTATAGCTTTGAGCAAGTCCTTTTGTCTCTCTGAGTCTTGGTCTCCCTGTTTGTAATATAAAAGGTTTGGATCCAGTGCTCTCTGAAGTCCAGCAGTCTGAAACATGAACATTTGCCAAGTGTAGGGATGTCTTGTGGTTTCCATATGGAGGTGGTGTGGCTGACCCTGGTTCCAGCTGCAGGGACACAGAATCGTGTACTCTGATAATGGCTTACTGTACATAGGCCAGCTGGCGAGAGGACTCTGGCAGACTGGAAGTTGCAGAATGAGGCAGGGCTGAGAGTGGGGGTGGCTTGTTTGAGCCTGAGGGGAGGAGGGGTCAAGAAAGAAAGATACTGGATCCTCTGGAGAAGGGCCTGGGTGTGTTTGCTGTGCAGCCTGGTTAATTTTCCAGAACATCTCTATAAATCTCGAGTACTTTTAAATTGCCTTGTCGTGTGTGTGGGGGGATTTTACAAAATATTGAAGCCATGTTGTAAATCACATTCCCAGACAACAAAATAAAACCTCTCTGAGGTGAAACCAGCAAGTGGAGAAGAGGGTTTTAATAATGACCAGAAGAGCCCGAGGGCAAACCCTGCTTAGCCCTTCTGATCTCTTTGGCAATGATGTGAGGGTGGAGCAGGTGGCAGAGAGGAAAGGTGACCTGTTGACTTCTCTCTTTTGAGGGGATGCTGGAAGGAGGTGATGAGGACTGCAAAAGCAGGGGCAGTGGGAGAGGGTGACTTCTGGAGCCTGGTTTCTGGAGCTCCAGGACAGGGTATGGCTTGCTGCCTTCTGGCTTGGCTGTCAGATGGAAGTCTTATCTGTCGTCCTTGCTGTGCTCTAACTGCGAGCAGTACTGTGCGAGTTGGCTGTGGTCAAGGGAGTGCTGGAACTGGCTCCTATTGACCCACTGTTAACATTTCAGGAATTTTGTCAGCCAATGGAGAAGTATTTACAGCCACTGTAGAGGGATTTACACCACAGAAATTGGCAAATGCTACAAAACAGGGCTATCCCTACCCTGGCCTAATTGTGAAACATTCACTAGCATACCTAATTGTGTTATGGGCACCCAATCTTTCTTTCTTCTTAAACTTAAATTTTCTTTTATCAAAGTAATATACTTTTTTTTTTTTTTTTTTGGGACAGAGTCTCACTTTGTCACCCCAGTAGAGTACTGTGGTATCATAGCTCACAGCAACCTCAAACTCTTGGGCTCAAGCTATTCTCTTGTCTTAGTCTCCCAAGTAGCCAGGACAACAGGCGCCTGCCACAACACCTGGCTCTTTTTAGAGTCGGGGGCTTGCTTTGGCCCAGGCTAGTCTAGAACCTGTGAGCTCAGGCAGTCCACCTGCCTAGGCCTCTCAGAGTTCTAGGATCACAGGTGTGAGCCACCATGCCTGGCCCACTTTTTTTTTTTGAGACAGAGTCTCTCTGATGCCCTGGGTAGAGGGCTGTGGCGTCAGAGCTCACAGCAACCTCAAACTCCTGGGCTCAAGGGATTCTCTTACCTCAGCCTCTCAAGTAACTGGGACTACAGGTGCCTGCCACCACAGCTGACTAGTTTTTCTATTTTTAGTAGAGATGGAGTCTCATCTTTGTTCAGGCTGATCTCAAACTCCTGAGCTCAAGCAATCCACCAGCTTTAGCCTTCCAGAGTGCTAGGATTACAGATGTGAGCCACCCCACTTGGCCAGTAATACACATTTAAAAAGTCCAATAAATCTTTAAAAGGTTTGTGGTTCTACCCTTTCCCACAAACAATATTTGCTCTGATATTTACTCAGCTCCAGAATTCTAAAAAAAAATGTAAATACTGTTATCTTTTGATTACTTGATTCTAGATCAGTGGCTCTTAACCTTCCTAATGCCACAACCCCTTTAATACAGTTCCTATGGGTTCCTCTTGTGGGTTTCTCCCCACAAGAACTGTATTAAAGGGTTGCGGCATTAGGAAGCTTAAGAGCCACTGATCTAGAATCAAGTAATCAAAAGATAACAGTATTTACATGTTTTTTAGAATTTACATTACATCTTGAAAACTGCTGTTCTAGATGTTATCTTTTTTACTTTCCATTTAGCTTCCTTACACTGTCATTTCCTCCTTCTTCCCAAGTTAGTTATATTTCAATTTTCTCTTAAATCTATATTTGGTTTTGCTTCATTATGCCTATGTATTTAACAGATGGCATTCATATCTAAGCATTGAAGTGTACTGGGATTTTATTTACTTTCTTACTTTTTGGTTTGAGATTAAGAACTTGTTTTTCAATTTGCTTGTCTTTCTTTTTATCTATTGCTAATTCTTAGAACTTCCAATAGTTTCTCAGTAGTTTTCTACAAGGCCAATCTATCAGGTTAAGGTGTTCTCTGGGTTCCAAATTTGTTCTTGGAGACATCCCTTCTTCTGTCTGGTTAGCTGCTTTCCAGGCTGGCACAGCAGTCATCCGGAGACCTCAGTTTGGTGTCATTCTTGGCATCCATTGCCTTTTTCCCATGTTAAATACCTTGCTTCCTGGTCCACATGTTTTTCCCTTCCTTGGGTTGATGGAGCACATCCATCAGTAGTTTTGGCAAGTTAAGAAGATGGTGCAAAGGGTACACTAATGATGGCTTTCAATGTGCTCATGTCTTGGATCATACTCTGCAGTCTGAACTAGTTGCCCTCTGTGATAACAACAGTTAGCCTAAAACACTGCCTGGCTCATAGTCAATAATGATTTGTTGAGTGCTCACTTCAGCAGCACATATATGAAAATTGGAATGATACAGAGAAGATTAGCATAGCCCCTGAGCAAGGATGACACTCTAATTCATGAAGTATTCCATATTTTTAGTTTATAACATTACCCTGTGTACTGGGGGATGAACTCACTCTAATAGGGGTAGACAGAAATCCTTCATGCAAAAACTTTCAAGGAAAAGTCACAACTAACCACAATCTTCAAAAAGATTGGGAAGCTCAATTCCATCAGCAAGCTGGGAAAAGGCAAAATGCCATGCCTCATCTGCACGAATCACCAGACCAATGAAAGTATCAGCCTTCCATTCCAGTGCAAGGGCAGATTCAGCACTTGAAGTCCCCTGGAGCTTCAGATGCAGGAGGATGAACATATCATCCGCAGCACTGTGCAGAAAACTAGGCTTCCTGTGAATGTGACTGTGCCGAGTCACCCAGGAACCCATTGACCTCCACTTTATCCACGAGGGGCACCACTACAAGTTGGTGAACATCCAGACCAAGATGGTGGAGGTTTGCTGCATGCTCTGGAACAAGAAGATCCTCCCCATGAACTTTCCTTTGCACTTGACTGTCCCCAAGTTCAGCCTCTGAGAACATCTGGTGAAGGGGGAGGGATGGCCCCAAACCCTGGTCCATCACTAGCTGGGTATCTGACAAGAACAGTTTGATATCGGTGAATATTCACAGGCTGTCCAGGACATGAAAACCAACTGGAATGAGGACTGCAAGAGCCCTAAGAGGGGCCGGTGCTCTGGTCACAACCACATACCCCACTCCCTCATCTATGCCCGCCAGTCCTTTCACCAGCTGTCAGTCTGTGTGTATGGCAACAATCTCCATGGCAACAGTGAGGTTAACTTCCTGGGCTGCAAGGACCTGGGGGGAGAGTGGGCCCCTTTTTCTCCTGACATCCTGCCCTATCAGGACTCTATAGAAGGAGAGACTACCTTTTCCGCAAAGCTAGTGAAGAATCAGCAGGCATCCCAGGGAAGTCAGAACTTCCTTAGGAAGAGCTGCGGCTGGGGGAAGGCAAGACCAGCCATCAGCCTCTCACTCGCTCCCTGAGTGAGATGTGATCAGTTTAGAGGTTCTGTCTGGTCCAAATGTGCAACTTCTCTTATTTCTGTCCCTGGGACTCTCAGAACAGCAGTGATATCTTCAGATTCTGCCCTACCTCCACCTCCACTACCTCCCAAATATTAAGCCATCAGGGAAGAATGCTGGCTCCTGAACACCCCACCTATTCCACCCCAAAGCACAAAGCCTTTGTCTACCAGTTGCTCCATCCCTCCTTGTGTAGTCAAGCCAGCCCCAGCAACAGACTCCCCCAGCCCTACCTTGTCCTGCTATTCTTCAAGGCTGCACAACATGGTTGCCAAAAGTGACACAAGTCCTTCTGAAAGTGCTTCTGTTTCCTGCTATCCATGTAACCAAATGAAAACTGGTGGTGGACCTGAAATCCCCATTTGGAAGTCCTTCTGCTGAAGTGCTGGAAGTGCTGGAATTCCTCCTGGCTCTCATGGCCTAATCATTACTTGGGAGCATCAGAGGGCCAGACCAGGACTGACTTCCTGCTGGATCCAAGCAGGAATTACAGTTATCCCAGACAAAAGACACCAGGTGTACCAAAAAGCAATTGCCCAGCACCTTTTGATTCTGATGGCTCTGAGCTCTTGGCGAACACTCTAGCTCAGTCACTGTAGAATTCAGTAGCAACGTCTCTGGTTGTTCCAAGTCAGCCAGCTACTCTCTAGAGAGCACAGATGTGAAAATTCTTGCAGCTGACACGACAAAGCAAAGAATCTCATACCCTGACTTCCCCCTACCAGGGCCCCAAAGGTAACAGAAGAGAAAGCTGCCTCCAAAACATCTCCTTTGCCTCTGAAAATCAATGGTGCTGAGAAGACCCCTGGCTAGGTCACCAGATCTCTCTGAGGATCAGTATTTTGTTAAAAAGGGCATTCAGGACATCTTCTCCTACCCTTTCCCATCTCTGCTCCACCTCCAGCTGGCCCCTAGATCTCAGTGGTGATGGTTTCCTGTGGCAGCTACCTGCTGACCTGTTTGGACTCACTATAGAGGAAATGTTCAAGTCATTATGGTTCATTGGTTTGTCTGGAGATGTCATGTCGTTCTTCGTTACCAAAAAGTTTGATGGGAATTTGCTTGTTGAACTAATAGAAGAATCCTCTCAGAGGATTTCTAATTGAGCAAACTGCAGGTGAGGAAAATAATGCAATTCATTAATGGCTGGAGGCCCAAAATATAACCAAATAACCCCAGCTAGCATGCAACAACACTGATAAATGTGTGTTCTAGAAAGGGGGACACAAGTTCATGTTTTTGCACTAAAAACTTTTTCTGTAAATAGGAATAAGAGAAACTCTTACCATGCAGATTACGTTTTTGAATGGTAAACAGGCTATTTTGTACATCAATAAAAATGCTGTATAGAACAACAACAAAATAATGGTTTCTTGAATGAATGAGTAAATTCTAAGATTTCTTTTTTTTTTTTTTTGGCAGTTTTTTGGCCGGTGCCGGGCTTGAACCCGCCACCCCCAGTATGTGGGGCCGGCCCTCTACTCCTTGAGCCACAGGCACCACCCAAATTCTGAGATTTTTCATCACTGTTATTTTGGAGATTGTCTTTGCTTCTTTGCTATGTTGGATCTCCTTTCTTGGCTTCAATCCTTGATTTGCTGGAAAATTGCTCTCCACTGGCTTCCTGAGAAAGGTTATCCCAGGCAGGAGATGGGATTATAGGAGGAAAAATGTTGGGCTTGCATATCTGCATATCTCTGGTGCATATCTGAAGGCTGCTTGATTGATAGTTTGACTGGTCCCAAATTTTATATGTGTGTATATATATTTATATATAATATATATATTTTATATAAAATAATGATATATATTATACATGTAATATATATAATTTTTTTAATATAATTTTTTTTTTTTTGGTATAGAGACAGTTTCACTTTATTGCCCTCAATAGAGTGCTGTGGTGTCACACAGCTCACAGCAACCTCCACCTCCTGGGCTTAGGTAATTCTCTTGCCTCAGCCTCCCGAGTAGCTGGGACTACAGGTGCCTGCTACAATGCCTGGCTATTTTTTTTGTTGCAGTTTGGCTGGGGATGGGTTTGAACCCGCCACCCTCGGTATATGGTGCAGTACCCTACCCACTGAGCCACAGGTGCCACTCCAATTTTTTTTTTTTTTTTTGAGATAGTGCCCATGTTAGAGTGTCATGATGTCAGCCTAGCTCACAGCAACCTCAAACTACTAGACTCAAGCAATCCTACCTCAGCCTCTTGAGTAGCTGGGACTATAGGTGCCCACCATGTTCAACTAATTTTTCTGTTTTTAATATAATCTCAAGGGATCCTCCCATGTCAGCCTCCTAGGGTGCTAGGATTACAAGCATGAGCCACTGCACCTGGCCTGGTACCAATTTTTTTTTTTTAATGGATCTGAATACAGTGTCCAGTTGGTACCAAATTTTAAGTGGAAAATAATTTTCCCTCAGAAATATGAAGGCATTATTCCATTGGCACCTTGCTTTTGAGAAGTCTGAAGCTCTTCTGGTCTCTGGTTCTTTGAAATGCTTTTTCTCCCTGGAAGTCTGTAGTTTTGACCAATGCTCTGAGGTCTCCCTGAAAGACCCTTCACATGGGTCTGGATCTGCTGTCATCTACTGCCAGGTGCTCTTGGTCTCAGTGGGCCTTTCTACCTGGCCCTTCATGTTCTGATCCAGGAAATTTGGGGGAGCTATTCTGTCCTGTGCCTTCTCTCCCGGAACTCTTATTCAGATGGTGAATTTTCTGGAAAGTCTCTACTTTTCTTATTTTTTTCCTCCTATTTTCAAACTATGACTTTTTGCTCTGCATTCTGAAGATATTTTCAACTCTATCTTCCAAACTTTTTCTTGAGTCTTTAATTTCTGCCATCATATTTTTAATGTTTAAAGGTCACTTATGTTTTCTGTTCTATTCTTCTTCGTTTTTTTTGGAGACAGAGTCTCACTATGTCGCCCTCGGTAGACTGCCGTGGTGTCACAGCTCACAGCAACCTCAAACTCTTGGGCTTAAACGATTCTCTTGCCTCAGCCTCCCAAGTAGCTGGGACTACAGGCACCTGCCTCAATGCCGGGCTATTTTGTTGTTATTGTTTGGCAGGCCCTGGGCTGGGTTCGAATCCGCTGGCCCCGGTGTACGTGACTGGTGCCCTAGCTGCTGAGTTACAGGCCCCAAGCCTGTTCTGTCTTCTTAAAAATAATGTCCTACTTAGTGTTTAGTGTGTACTATATTCTCTGTTATCTCTTTGAGGATAGTAATGACAGTAAACTTTTTGAAGTTTTCTTCTCCCTGCCTGGTTTTCTTCTTTCAGGTTGCCTTTTTTTTTTGGTCTCTATGTTTTACAAGTTCTCTTCATATGCCTTGTGTGATTAAGAAGGAAAGACAGTCTCGGCGCCTGTGGCTCAAGCGGCTAAGGTGTCAGCCACATACACCTAAGGTGGCGGGTTCGAATCCCCAGCCCGGGCCCGCCAAACAACAATGATGGCTGCAACCAAAAAATGGCCGGGCGTTGTGG